GGCCCCGCGCTCAGCGCTGCTTCTCCCTCTCTTTGTTTGTAGGCTGTGGCCACCGCGGACTCTGCTCCGGAGCACCCCAGGCAAGTCAGCGGCCCGGGCCCCTGCTCCACCCGCAGCCCCCTGCAGCTTGGCCACCACTCTCTGCTTCCTTCCCTGTCCTGCCTTAACCAGACTCTCGTCCTCCCCAGTCCTCCCAGCCCAGGCCTGTCTCTCTTCCACCTTCCTTAGGTGTTTGTCCAATCCTTGCCCTTTGTCCTTGTGACCCTTGTCCTCTGGACTTTTCTCTTTTCCTTGACCTTTGTCTCCTGACATCAAGCTTTTGCTCGCCCTCTGTTGTCCCCCCTTTCGGTCTTGCTGACCCTCATCCCCTCCCTCCCGCTCTGTCCCCTCCTTCCGTTCAGTGCCCTCTTGCCTGGGTCCCAGTGGCCTTTCCCTGGGCTCCTCTTTATTCCTAGAATAAAAGGGTCATAGAAAGAAGGGTCTCCCTCGGGTCTGAGGCCCTCATTTGACAGGGAGGAAACTGAGGCCCGAAAGGGGAGGTCACACCCAAGGCCAGTGCGCAGACAAGACCAGCACCCAGCGAGCACCTGCCTCTCTCCTCCCTTGGGCTCTGTCTGCCCATCCCTGCCCAGTGCCCAGATGGGTCTCTCCCCGGTCCCTCTCACCCACACTCACCCCCCGGCTCCCGCTGCTTTCCCTCTTCCTGCCTCCCTCCATGCCCGGCCAGTGGCCAGCCCCTGACTGACCCGACTGTCTCTCCCAACAGTGCCCGAGGCTCCGGTCATCGACACGCAGCGCACCTTCGCCTACGACCAGATCTTCCTGTGCTGGCGGCTGCCCCCGCACTCACCGCCTGCCTGGCACTACACCATTGAGTTCCGGCGCACGGACGTGCCTGCCCAGCCGGGCCCCACCCACTGGCAACGGCGGGAGGAGGTGAGGGGCACCAGTGCCCTGCTGGAGAACCCCGACACCGGCTCCGTATACGTGCTGCGTGTCCGCGGCTGCAACAAGGCCGGCTATGGCGAGTACAGTGAGGACGTGCACCTGCACACCCCCCCAGCGCCTGGTGAGTGGCAGAGGGGTGGGCACAGGGTGGCACAGACAGGGCACAGGGCATACTGGGGCCCAGGCACTGACCGGCGGGGCCGGGTGAGCGCTGCAGAGACGGGATGATGCCGGGGTCACACTCACTCACTCTGGAGCTAGGTTTGCTGTGTTCACATCCCAGCTCTGCCTCTTGCCAACTGCATGGCTTTGGGCAAGTTTTTCAGCCTCTCTGAACTTCAAGTTCCTCTTCTGCAGGGGCATATACAATACTCACCTCAGAGGGCTGTTGTGAGAATTAATTGAATTGATTCATGTAAAGTCTTAACAGAGTTTCCACCTCAAGTAAGGGCTCAATAAGTGACAGTACAGTGACTGTCCAGAACATAGTGTGGACCCTGGGACACAGGCATCATAAAGGAGCATCACCCCCCCCTAGGGGCGGATGAGGGAGGGGCTGGATGTCAGGACCAGATGTGAGCACCAGTGTGGGCTGGAAGGTGTAGGCAGATGTGGGGGTGTCACCACATGGAACGGAACAGCCGGGGGAAGGGCTGAGAGGAAGCCCTGTGAGTCAGCTGGTCTGGGGACCGGTTTCCGTGTCCACGAGTCATCACTCGACTCCTCGGGGGTCCCATGCCCACTTGGAATCTCCACTTCTTTCTTCCCTGTGCCCCTCGTTCCAGTTCCCCGGGCCCTGTTCCCAACGCCCTGGGCAGCGCATTCCGTGTTCTGAAACCTCCCAGTGTCCTGTCCTCACGCCTCACTGTCCCCAGTTTGTCCCTGAGGTCCTTCCTTTTGTCTCAACCTCCCCCCACTCCAGTCCTTCACTTCTTCCTCGACGGCCGCTGGGGCGCCAGCCGGGAGAGGCTGGCCATCAGCAAGGACCAGCGGGCGGTGCGCAGTGTTCCGGGGCTGCCCCTGCTCCTGGCCTCTGAGCGGC